ATTTTAAGGCTAGCACATAGATTCTCTGCAGTGAAACCACATTTCTCAAACCACATTTCTCACTATTTGAAGGTAGGCTCTAATTTATGGTTTAGGGCCTAGGCTCTATACAAACCGCACCCATCTTATTATTCCTTTGTTTTGGGTATTACTTGTTTGTTCTCTCAACGAAATATTCGGCTAGTAATTATGGGTATCCACGAAATTTTCGAGGAGTGGACATATACAAGCTGGCAAATCTGTGTGAACTGTTCGTCGAGCGTAACAAATGCAATGAAAACTGCCTACTGACCGTACAGTTTTGACCCAAAAAAGTCGTCGCCACCTTTATTTTCAAGGAAAAAGTTTATATAGAGCGAGGCTCTAAACAATCAAATTCGAATCGACCTCAAAAATTTCACTACAAGATGTTGTTTTGATACTCAAATATTCTTAAATTGATCATCTGGATATCAAAATGTATGGACATGAGAAAAAAATAGATTTTAACTTTTGAATATAGTAATTTTGTAATGCATTTTTGGACAGATAATTTTCAAGACTTTCAAGCTTTCATAGATCTCACGATCTATACTATTTTTTGAGCTTTAAACTTTATAAATAAAAATAAAAATATATTTTAAGGCTATCAAAAAGATTTCCAGTATTGAAACCACATTTCTCGACACTATTTCAAGGTTGGCTCTAAGTTGATTTTTTAGAGCCTAAGCTCTATACAAACCGCACCCTTATTTCAACGTTAATCCTAAATGTTTTGGAGTAAACAACCCCAACCCAAATACGGCATAATCAAAGCTTTTGTTGTGACAGAAAGTGGAAACTGTCCCTCACTTTCAAGGCGAGCTACAGGCCCTCAGTAAGCCCCCGTAGGGCCTGATGTGGGCCCCAAACTTAGCATAAGGGCTAGGATAGGGGGTTGGGCTGGCCTTAAACTTAGCACCAGGGATAGAATAGGGGCCCAAGCTGACCCCTTTTTTTAATTTTTTCTTTATATTTTTGGGTTGGGCCGACCTAACAAGGCTAAAGCCGGGCCTGGCTTGGCTTGACCCTATTGGGATAAAGGGCAAAGGCTTGCATGGCCCAGACCGACCTTTTGCCACCATAGAACATGGTCAAGAAAGCTAGTTCCAATGTTTCGCTAAAACCGAGTTGTGTAGAAAGGCCAAGTGCCAAACCACCCAATGGAAAAAGATTTTGTATTCGTTTCTAATGTTGAAGGGGAGAAAATCCATTAGCTCAACAACTTATATTTATTAGCTAGGAAAGTTCATTTTCGATATTTCCATAGGGGAACTAGACCAACCTTTGCATTGTTTAGATTTTTTTTTTTTTGGGTAATTCATTTTTGGAAGACACACCCCTATCCGTTTTTTTTAGTAGATTAGGAGTTAGCGTTTTAAAGATGAAGGCCCTATCTTTTTATAGTAGATTAGGAGTTAGGTTTTTGAAAATGTCTGTTTTTTCTAATAGATTAGGAGTTAGCTTTTTTAAGATGTATGTTTTTTCTAGTATATTAGGAGTTAGCGTTTTAAAGATGACACGCCCTATCAGTTTTTTTTAGTAATGAAGACGTTACTGGAGGTGGTAGGAAGACCGGTGGGAAGACCTTTGCTCTTCTATAGTCTTCTTTATTGATTTCTCTATGGTTACCACTCACCTTTTTCTTTCAAATGCTAAGAATGATATATACAAAATGGACATGATTTTTAAGTGAAAATATGTACAATGAGGTTATTTACTCTAGATACAAAGAGCTCATGATCATTATTCACAGGTAGATTTTTAATAAGGTGATTGAGGATGTGTCATTGTTTGGGACAAAGTTTAAAATAAAATTTTTTGAATTTTACGATACACTTTTATTTTGAATTTCATATCCAACAGCTAAAAATAATTACGACCTCCTTGTATTAAAAATAAATGATCTCATAATCTATAATCTCTTTTTAAATGAAACAAATAATCAGATAATATACAATCTCTTTTTAAATGAAACAAATAATAAGGCACAAATATGTCTTCTTCTTCGTGAGGGAATCATGAAAATTGAGATATGCAAAACATAAGCTTATGAGCCTTATTTCCTTCTTTGTTCCATCAAGTGACCTTCTAGATTGGGTCATTTGGTGAGTTTATTCAACACAGTTGGGGGGCCAAAGTCAAGGTTAGCTCACCTCAAAAAAGGAAAGGCCTTTGGTAGCCATCCAGTGAAAAATGTGAAGATATGGTGTACGAGTAATGAGACACAGAGAAAAAGAGGAAGAAATATTACCACTTGCTAACCCTGAATCGATTATCATCTTTCTCACTCCAAAGATAACCAAGGTTTAGAAGAAATTGGAAAAGGCCAGCGCTTACCAACCGATGATAACAACTCTCCTCCACCGCCGCAGGCCGCGAAACAACTCTCCTCCACAGCCGCAGGCCACGAAACAACTCTCCTCCACAACTGCAACTCACGAAACCTCAACAAAATTCAATCCCGCTGGCATTTAAGTCCTCTTTAGAGAGAGAGATTTTCATAAACTTATTTACAGATAACAGCAAAACTTCATATTTTATGAAACTGGGGCTCCTTCTTTGCAGTGCAAACACTGAAGGTGCCCCAACCTTAAATAGAGAGGAAGAGAAAGAGTGTGTGGGGGCATTGAATGCATGTGAGATTTGAAGAGGAGAGCCTTTTTGGTGCTCAAACCAGGGTTCGGGACGTGTCAATAGGCTCGTGTTACGAAACAAAACAGGGGTGCGTTACAAACAAGGAGGGAGGGGGAACGGGCTATCTGGCGAAGGAAATGGGCTGCATGCCATACACCCATTCATCCCCTCCCTCCAACTCCAAACCACTTCTCCACAAAACCGCTTGCGCCCCCACTTCCCCCCCGCGCCCCCCCCGTCCCTCCCTCCCTCCCTCCCTCTCTAGTAAAGGTCTAAAGGTGGCAATGGACCCTCCAAGACCCGGGACTCGACGGGTAGACATAACTTTGGGTATGGGAATGGGTCCAAATTTTGGACCATCCGAGTCCAGCCGGAGACTCAAACCTATAATCATAAAGTAAATGATGGCAATCATGTGTTTTTAGACTTAGATATTCATATTATCACAATATTGGCAACATTTATAATATTATTGAATAATAAAAAAAAAAGCTCATAAGGTATATGATAGTAAAAAAAAAAAAAAAAAAAAAAATAGGCTATAGTTTGTATAGAGCCAAGGCTCTAAACAATCAAAGTAGAGTGCACATTCAAATAGTGCCGAGAAATAAAATTTAAAGCTTAAAAAATAGTATAGATCAAGTAGATCTATAAAAAGTTGAAAATCTTCAAAATTGACAGTAAAAAACTATGTTACAAGATACACTATTTCCAAAACTTGAAATCCATTTTTTTCTCATGTCCATGTATCTTTATGTCGAGATGATCAATTTGAGGATATTTGGGCATCAAAGTAACCTCTTCTAGTGAAATTTTTTAGGTGGGTTTAATTTGATTGTTTAGAGCCTTGACTTTATATAAATTTTTTCCAAAAACACTCAATAGTCATAAAGTGACAATAGGTCCGACCAGACCAAAGACCCGATGGGTCTGGGTATGTGTTCAAATTTTAGACACATATACTATTCGAGTCCGGGTCGTACTTTTTTAGAGACCAGCTACACCATCCCATTGCGAGCCCTACACTTTAATATACTTGGCTCTAAATTACTGGGAGAATCCTTCTTTTTTTCTTTTTCTAACATTGCCAATGAATACTGGGAGAATCCCTCTCTTTAATGTTTCTCATTCTTTCTCTCTAAAACTGTGGGATCCGCTGTCAAAATTGGTGCCAGGTGTTATGGGTTCTCTGTTGGAAAAACGGGGAGAGCATTTGGCTACAGAGGGGAGCACATGACTGGCTAAATTTCAATTGTTTTTCTTTTTGGGTCTTCTTGAGAGTAGAATAGGGTTCTGATGAATTTCAAAGTACTGGAAAACATTCGGTGGTCTTGCCAGACTACCGTCAACACAAGGTCGGGCAGCGGTAACACATCGTCATGAAGATTTCGTGGGGGAGCATGTGTTGCACCGGGGGATCAAAATGTATGTTTTCATCACCGTCCAAAACTTCCAAAACAAAACGTTTTATTCGATAAGTATAAACAAAATAACAATAAAAGAGGTCTCCAAAAATATGCAACAAATTTTTTTTTTTTGGGGTAATTTAGTTAGAAAGACAGGTTTCTATCCAATTTTTCCAAATAGTTCAGGAGTTGGTTGTTTTTACCGCGACCCCAGCCCTTTTTCCCAAAAATTGTTCTAAAGCTCTAAACTCTCCACGCTTCTTAACTATTCGATCAAAATTTAATGGACGGCAAATATGAGGTTGGTTCCACGAACCAGTGTATAAAGCATGGCTCAGGGATGGGACTCCACCATGCCCGAGCCATGGGGCCTGGTATTTTTAAGTCAAAAAGTGTTTAAAAATAAAAAATAAAAAATCTTAAAATAAGAAAAATATGTTTAAAGTAAAATAACTAAAACACATCTAAATGAGGTTAAAAAAGTAAAAGGGGTTAAAAGATAGTAAAAAATAGAGTTTTGAAAAGATCAATTGATCTGAAATGAAGTAAAAATGTAAAATTAAGTATTCATGACAAAAACACTTTCCAATCTATCTCAAAATGATAGAAAATATAAAAAATATATTACATATATATTTATTAATTTTTTAAATTTTTTATAGTTTTTAATTTTTATTTTTAAAATCCCAAAGTTGAACCACAAGAATCTACAAAGGTAGAGAAAAATAAAGAGAATAAGTGTTTCCTCGCCAAAGAATCGCTGAGATCCAATCTGTGAAAATAAAAAAGTAGTCCTCCATATTAGGCATGGTACAGGGTCCGGGACAGTTGCAGGATGCACAGGTACCCTTCAATAGTTCAAATAATTGTTGGAAAAATTGGGCGATCTAACCGTTAACCACCCAGTTAGATCGGAATCGGCCAGTGGCTGGTTCTATTTTTGGGCAGTTTTGATGATCGATTAGTATTTAAAATAAAATAAAATAAAACAAATGTATATAAATTCTCAAAAATAAGAAATTTGATTTGTAATGTATTTTTTAATATTCTTTATATTATGGTAAAGATTAAAATTTGTTTTTGGTTATTAATACTCACTTTAATTAAAATTTTGATTTGTTAAAATTCATTTTTTCATTAATTTTTGACTTCATTGGAAAGTGTTTTCTTTTAATCATTCTTATATGCTTTTCATATTTTAGCAGATTGTTTTTATGTATTATTTTTTTCAACACTTTTTTTATCACCCGGGACTTATTCAGTTAGAACGGTTGAAACGGCTGGTTTACTGGTTAGACTGGTTAAATTGCTTCCAGGCCCATGACTAATTAACCGTTCAGGTTCGATTTTACGAACACCTGTTCAAATTGAACCTAGTATAATTTGATAGCCCAAGAGGAATTGCACATTTTATATTATTTTTTTTAAAATATATTTATCTGGACTTTGGAGTATAGATGTATTTCTATATGGCACATAAAAATAAAAATGATATAAAATATCTCCGCCCCCTCTACCCCCGCCCCCCCGCGCTTCTTGAAACAATTTAAGGGTATTTGGTCAAATTTTTCTTAAACATATCTTGTATTATTTTTATTTTTATTTGGTTCACTATATAAAAGTTTATATATAACCTAAATTTTAAACAAACATTATTTTTAAAATAAAAATAAAAAATATGAAACTTTTTTGTCACCATTAGATGTACCATGTTTAATCTAAGCCATTAAAAGGGTGCTTAAGCACTCTTCTACTTACCACGTGATGTAGACATGAGACTTTCCATCTCATCTTAGTCTTCCACCACTTAAAAATATAAATAAATATTATTATTTTCAAGATAGCAGCTCTATGGTTCAGACACGACTATAATTTCGTAAATAGCTTTTAAGGATACAATATTATTAACCTCATATTCGGACTTTCATGCTTACCCCTTTCCTAAATGGGCGGCTGGCAAATACAAATACGCACTATTAATGAAACCAAATATCTACCCCAACCTACTCCTATCACTTCGAGCCTCTTGCTAATCAATGAGCATGTTGCAGTAGCTTTTGGTTGGGGAAATTTAAGATCAAGTGAGCCACTGATTATTTAATCTAAATCCGATGCTTTAAATTTTTTTACTTTTTTATTTTTTTTATACTAACTATATGAATATGAAATATAATAGGCGTCATCACCTCAATGGAGCGCACCTAAATAAAATATTAAAAAAATATTTTTGATAAAATACAATGACCACAATACCCCCGAATTTTTCAGGGGTATTTTGGTTATTTTATTTTATTGGGAATATTTTTTTTAAATATTTTTTATAGGTGCGAGTTCAAGAGAGGATTGGATGCCCAAATTTTGGTGGCCAAATGTTTTGTATATATAAAAAAAACTAAAAAAATAGTAAAGACGATGACATTATGATTGGAGCCATCTAAGTCGTCCATTCAGAATGGACAGTTGGATAGGGGGAAGTATAAAAGTTTTTTGCTGGAGGGGGAAGCATAGAAAGCTTGCTTGGTTGGTTAAGATGAGTGCTTGACTAGATTTTTGAGTTTTATTCGGGAATCATAGTTGTCCCCACCAATTTGTAGCTAAGAACTATTAGTTGTATGCACATGTGTTGCACATCATATTTAATATAAATAACTTAAACATGTTTATCATTGAAAAATATTTTCAATAAAACATGGTCGAGATCATTAAATTTATATTTACTATTGAATAACTTTAGGAAATAATTATGATTTTTTAAAAACCATGCAATAAATAAATTAATTCAAATATACTTTTTGTGATAAAATATGATTATAGGGAGATGAAAAAATTTTAAATGCTATTTTAAATAGAAGAATAAAAATTGATATAATGCAAATGAAAAATAGTGAGAGAAAGCTAGAGGAGATGTGATAAAAAATCATAATTAGAAAATATAAATTACTCAAGTATCTCTCAAAAAATGAATTAAATTTAATATATACTTCATCACATTTTTTTTTTGCTAGAAATACAATATTATAGTTACAAAAGCAATTTAATATTCAATAGTCGTAAAAATTTTAAAATACATATAAAGGAAAAATTGAGATGAAAATAAATCAATACATCACTTAATATAAGAATCAAAAAGAAAAAATAACTAATTTTTTCTTTCTCAATAAAGAGACTAAACGAGACATAATTCATTTGAAAAATAGCAAGAGAAAGCTAGAAGAAGGAGTAATATAAATAAATAAGTTATATGAAATTAAAATAAATATATGATTCAATAAAATAATAATAATAATTGTAATAACAACAACATCAACAATGACTATAGCTATAGTTGTTGTCATTATTGTTATTGTTGTTGTTGTTATTATTATTATTATTTATTATTATAATAATTAGTAGAGATAA